ACGGTCTCGAATTCAACAGTTGCAGATGACTTTAACAGAACTGGGATGCATAGGTTCCATTTACGTGCACATAGACCGAAAACATTTCACAAGATCAGGAAAGTATGGTTTCAGTTAATGTTGAAATCCGATATGTTAACCCCGTATCTACTTCGAGAAGTTGGCTTTGACAACTAGACATGACGAACTTGACCTCTGACTACTATCGTGAATATCAAATACTCTATTTTTCTTCAGGTAAGACAGAACCTGAGTCCTTTTTTAAGAAACTACGAAGCATGGGGATGCGAGTAAATGACAACAACCGGAGGGGCCTGAAAACTCGACCAAGAGTTTCATGTAGTTAGGGCAAATAAAAACCGGAATGAACATGGGATACTGTCGATCGTCAGTTTTTCACCTGGCAATTGTATCAAGAGTCCTCGCAGGAGGTTACGCAGCGGCAGCGAGAAAGGCAGAAGCGATTTTGACAACTTTGAGGTAGGCTGAAATGGTTATCTCTTATAAACTGTCATCAGTCAGTCACGTAACTGAGCCCAGGCTTAACCAGCACGGATTTCAGACTCAGGAGTTTCGCCTAGTAAATATCAAGGAGAGCGCTCTATCATTAAGTTGAGAACATACGGTCCTATCATTTACATGTAAGACCCGAAAAGGCAGGTTTGCTTTAAAAGAACAGAAAAAGGGGCAGGCGGGAAAAAGAGACAGGAGGCTTAGTGTCGAATATTGAGTGTGTGTCTTCCCCCTAGGTGTTTTCAGATGAGGACAGTGGATTGAGTCAGGATACAAAGCAAGAATCGGTTGATAGAGTGTCCTCTAAACCAAAACCTTAATCTCCAGGTGTTTTTCCCCCCCGTTCTGTTCCGCGAAACTTACTAGCGCCTCTGACGCTTCTTGTTCCCCATTCCTATATCCCCATCTTCTCACCAATATATCGTTTACATTTTGGACTTCCTTTAAGTACTCGGATTATCCCTGTACGTTGAGATATTGATTGTCCGCGTGATGACAAGATCCAAGACTAATCGTTCAGAAGAGAGAAAACCAACCCTGTCTCCATCCTGCTTCGTCAAACCGGAAGACGTTAGCCCGGAACTAGTCCCTCAGCCAGAGCATCAGGACGGTCCGCCTACCACATCAAATCGAGAATATGAAAAGGCAAAGAGAAACGGCCATCTCCTCTCCCCCCCGCCCAGGAAGCTAGTTTGGTGAGGCCCCAGTACCGTGTGAAGTATTCATGAACTCGTACATTTACCTTTGCTAGGACATGGAGAAAACTGGTTTATTAATTTTGCCTCGCTATCCATAGTAAGATCTTCGTTGCGCTATCGGTGTAAGTGAACGGGGATCGGTTGTAAAAGTGTGGGCAGCGACTTGGAACAGGCATCGCAGGCTTCCTTATGTGTACATTCGATGCTTCTGACAAAAACACAGAAGTCCGCATAGGTTATCGAGTAGTATCGATGGCCTGCGATCTCCGAACGTCGTATGCGAGCAACCACTTCAGGTACATGAAACCCATACTGCGGGTCCCAGCCCTAACAATACTTGGCGAAAAAAACCAAAAACAACAAGCGGAAGATTGTAGTAGTAGTAGTAGTAGTAGTAGTGGGGGTACTAGTAGTAGTAGTAGTAGTAGTAGCAGTAGTATTAGTAGTAGTAGTAGTAGTAGTAGTAGTGGTAGTAGTAGTAGTAGTATTAGCAGTAGTATTAGTATTAGTAGTAGTAGTGGTGGTACTAGTAGTAGTAGTAGCAGTAGTATTAGTATTAGTAGTAGTAGTAGTAGTGGTACTAGTAGTAGTAGTAGTAGTAGTAGTAGTAGTAGTAGTAGTAGTAGTAGTAGCAGTAGTAGCAGAAGTAGTAGTAGTAGTAGTAGTAGTATTAGTAGTAGTAGTAGTAGTAGTAGTAGTAGTAGTAGTAGTAGTAGTAGTAGTAGTAGTAGTAGTAGTAGTAGTAGTAGTAGTAGTTTTGACAGGCATTCGGACGCAGTACGTGCTCACTACTGACCAGCTGATGCAGATTGCCCCTGCCAGTAGACATTTGACGTTGTATTTGAACAGCCCCCCCCGCCCAGAAACCCGCTTTGACATCCATCAGTACTGATGGGTGCCATCTGAGCCCTCAGTTACAACCTGGCGCCTGCGTTGGTTTACGGTGCAGGAGACTTGCGAGCGCGGACCTCACTCCCACCCCCACCGCCCTCCATCATGTTTTAATGACTAGTCATGTTCAAAACTACCGGAAGCGAGCCTCGGCGCAGTGACTGACGTGGAAAAACCCACGCCCACGCGTACTAGTTCTTACACGCACACGAGGAAGACTTCAGTATCTCGGGCATAATAGCGAAGAATGTTCCACTAAGGGACAGGTTACAGAAAAGTTATTGGAGCCTTGTCCCGATCTGCGAGAGGGCAGACATATTGCGCCAATTGGCAGGATTCCAGGTCAAAGTTTCTTGGCATGCATTACAGGAACGATTGATGTCATTAATTCCAAATCCCATCACCACAGACCAGGAGTAGGAACAGCTCCGTCCGACACGGAGATATGAACCCCCCGCGCTAAACTCTAGAGGGGTACCTATTCTCATGTATTAGCTATAATAATGACTCGAACGACAGTTTGACCATCGTGGCTGACGATGTCCACCGTGTGCTCCACAGCAGGGTGGGAGCAGGCACGGTGATTTGCGCAGCATCTACCGCACTCTCTCCTCCCCTCCCACCTGGGTCCGGCGTCAAGACATAGTCGAGGAAACCGGGGGCGAGAGAGGGCGCAGGTGGGTGGTATAGCCGGACCCGCACCTACAGTTAGTGATCTAACTCATGAAATGTGTCGAAATTTACGAATGATTGCCAATCACTCGCAAACCGACACCATTTCATGAGTCCAATGTCTATGTCAAGCAAGTACAAGTTTAAACGAATTAAAAACATAAAAGAAATATTAAAGGCAAGATTGCGTTGTTTAGAAATGCCGATTGTTTTTAGAAAAGCGCAATATCCCGAATAGGTCAGAAATGGCTCTTATTTAGTAAACTTCGTTTTTAGATGTATAGTATGTATTCTCATACCAAAAAACGTAGTAAATATGAAAGTCGAACTAAAATAACGTCTATTAATAGCGTTTCAGTGAAGTTTACATCTAAATATCGTTCAATAATTAGTGTGGTTTCGTATATGACAGCTTGTCAACTGCCTACATTCTCCGTTTTCCAGGGATTCGTGTTGTCCTTGACTTGTTTGAGTTAAATGAGGCGGGGTTCAACAAGAGAAACTGGATTTTGCTTGATTTACCTTATGGGGACCTCGTAGGAACAAAAGCGCTCATAAGGTGACATGCTATGAGGCCGGTCGGTACCTAATAAATTCAAATAGAACTGACAGGCCTGATCGTAAACATACCATTCTGTGTTTATACAGAGAACCTTTCTTCCATTAAAGTAATTTACACTTTTCCTTCGTTTTGGATTACGTCGAGTTTCAAATCGGCCTCGAAATGTTGCTGAATACTTCATGATTTTCAGTGTTTTCACCCGATCGTCCATAATGACTGATTCTGATTTACCAGTCTGTTAAGAACTTTAAAATAAGATTATTCTTGAAGGCATTTACCGAATTAGTGAGTGCTCGGATGCTCCTTTTCACGAGGGTGGTCGTTTGGGTCACATGTGAAGACTCATTCAAACATCAAAATTCATTTTCGAGAAAAAATGGCTGTCCACAACGAAGGTCAGCAACGAATATGGCTTCGATCAATAAGGAAACTTTCCTTAATAAGTTACCTCCGTAGGAAGAGCTTTATTACTGCACTCTGTTGACGGATCTCTGTGTACTTTGCATTTTTGCGCGGCGAGGCCAAGTAAAAATTTGACACTTTTGGCCGTTTCTCTCACGTTCCTAAAAAATACTGTTTTCTCTACCGTAAACGTAAGAACATGCCTTCCTCTATACATTGAGGCCATTTCCACTGTTTTTGCTCGATTTTAGACTCCGTGTGGACTCTGCGTGTGGATTAGTTTATAGTGAGTAGCATCGACCGCACTCCCCCCTCTCCCCCTCTGTCAACACATCGTCAAGACCACCGGAGGCGGGAGAGGGCGCCGGTGGCTACCACGGCCGGACCCTCACCTAGGCGTACCATCACATCCTCCTGGTTCACAAAAATCCCTTGGCCAAGATCTTAACCAACAAAAACAATGTGGGGTGGGACGGCAGGTATCCCAGTTGGCGTGACATAAGCCGATACCTGGTCTCCCATCGCACCCCGAATGTTCGCATTTGTTATGGGTGTTCATTCCCGAATCTGAATCTGAATCTGATGTGGCCTCCGTGTTGGTTTAGCTCATCTATCGCGCGGCCTGTTTAGAGACACTCATAACCCTAACACTAACTCTAATCCATCTGAAATTTAGGATATGGCCTCCCGTGCGCGTGCAACGGAGTCATACAGAATGTAAAGGAAACTGGGTCAGCCCCCCCCCCCTTTCTAATGCGCGCCACACTCATGTTTAAATCAACCACACTGACGCAAATCGTTTTAGGGAGCCCTGAGTAGTGAACTGTGAGGTACTCTCCTGCTTACCCTGAAAACTTTTAGTAAAAACAGGAGAAGTTCACGGTAAGTCATTCGATGAATATGCGAAATACCAGTGGCATAAGTAGGATACCAGGTTGGTTTAGTTTGGTTTGCGGTATGCTTCATATGTGACACTCGCCTCCGAAGGATGTCGATACTTTGAGGACCTTTGCTGTTACCTTCTGAATATAATTGTCCCTTGACTAGCCCACATATGTAAGAATTCATTTAAAACTCGTATTTCACAGAAGGTAAAATGGTCAATCACAGCCCTTTAACACCACGGTTAAAGCCGTACAAATAAAAATACAGAAGTGGTCAACTTTACCAAAACGTAGTCTTTTCACAGAAGAGGGAGGGTTAAAAGGGCCTCCAGTATAAGTGCTCAAGGGTTCAGTTGTGGAACATACATCAACATGACGTCAAACGCATTCTTCACTGTCAGAGGAGAGAGGGGACGAGGAGGATGAGGACGACGACGATGACGAGGGTGACGACGAGGGCGAGGAAAGGGGGGCTGTTGCCTGTGCGATGGTACAGTACCTCAAACTATGCTCCGACGTACGCGAAATGGCACTCCGGGCCATCTTTCTATCCAGCATGTAACTTGCTTCGTACACATTAAATTCGAGCTCCGAATTACTGCGCGTATCGAAGCGTACTCCACGGCGGTCTCGCAAACGTTCTGGCCGAGCAACTGCACGTTCGGGGGTCGGGGAGATTTCCAGGGGTGAAGAAAGGCACCGGAAGTACACCCCGGCCGAGGGCGACTTCAAGAAGCCTGTGGCAGGCGCCGCTCCCGCAGCAGCGACGGCGGCGCCGGCCGCACTCACCTCGGCTTCTTGCTGCGTCAAATATGCCAGCCATCGTGTGGCGCTGGTTGTGCCACCACGGCCGTACTCCTGGCCGGGCATTGGGGAGAGCTTTTTAAGTATGGACTTGGGTCTCTCCGTAGGTTTCGCCTGCGTCAAATCAGCATCAGCAGTAGTGATCCTACTGGGGAGCAAAATGGGCGGGCTTAAATGTGGCTCCACATTCATTAGCCGCTGAGGTGGTGTCTCACTGCCCATTTGGAGCTCTGAAGTTGCGTGGGTAGACAGTCCGTTGCTGACAACTGCAGGTGGCTGTCGTAGTTGAGGTTCAGTGGACATTTCTGCTGTTTGGTATGCCGTTTCAACTGGTTCAGACTTGCAACTTTCGGCGAGGGGCATGCCGACGGCCGTAGTGTCTGCCGTCACTGTCTCCGCCTCGTTGATAAAAGCCTCTGTAGAGACGGTCTCCAGCCTCAACACCGCCTGAGAGGATTTCTCAGGAAGATTAATCACCTCCTCAAACTCTTCGAACGCTCGCCGTTGAGTAGGGAGTACTTTCGGTTCATCTGTCTTACCAGAGTCTTGGGAAGTTCCCTGCGGTTGGTTCGCCTTCACCTCAGCATAGAAGTTGGCGAGGTAGGAGGGTATCTCCTTGGTGGCCTGATAACTCTGTTTATTGCTCAGTCCCGAGGTTTCATGGGCCAGCAATGGGCTTCTGGCTGGTTGTTTGCAGGTTGCTACATTATCCGGTGTCGCCTGGCTGTCCGCGGAGTAGTTTTCAGACTTATCACTTTGTGAAGCAACTGCAGTGCGCACACTGCGTCCGGATTTCTGCTCACGTCTAACGGAAGCGTCGATGTCAATTGGCCCCATGGTCTCTGAGTCGTTGTACGGTCGCCTACCAAGACCGTTCAGGCGCGACATCGTCGTTACTACCGCGGTGGCGGTGCTGCTCATAGCCTTCTCCTCTGTTCGGCTCGACTGCTGCAGTTTAATGTACTTAGTAGATGTGAATGGTTGAGGCACAACGGAACCAACAAGTGCGGGGGGTCTACCGGAATCTACTGTCTTTGGACGCAGTTTGGTGTTGACAAATGCAGTGGTGAGCATAGAACCTGTTCGTCTGGTCTTGGGGGTCTCCGATGGAGGATCTGGACGCCCAGACTGCGTGTAGGTCCTTCGTTCAGCAATGGTACTGGCTGTAGTAGCACGGGATGGACTATGACGCTCAACCGACTGGAGACTGGTGGAGGAAAATCCGTCAGGAGTCAAAAAGCGCATGTTTGCCATGCGAACACAGGAGTTAGTGCGAGGAGTTGCACCTCCAGAGGTCTCCCGACCTAGAGCTTTATCTGGTTGTGCATGGTTTTGCTGTTTTTGCTGTTGTTGTTGTTGTTGTTGCTGCTGTTGTTGTTGTTGTTTTTGTTGTTGTTGCGTCGGTGGGGGCTTAACGGGATACTGTTTTGGGCGATAGGAGACGCGCAGGGAGCCGAGGGGTCGAAAGGGGGTACTTTGAGGTTCTGACTTCGCTCCCGCAGTTAGAAGACGAATTACGCTAAGCGGAGCGGGAAAACGATCCATTTGTGGACCAGTAACCGTTGAGGGGGCTGTAGAAAAGGAAGAGGTGGAATCAATCGGTCGTCTGGCCCCCATTGATGAGCGTGGGCTCCAGGAATAACGATGGCTCTGCGTAGAGCGTTCTGAGGGACTCTTTAGTCCATTGCCACGGGGACTGAAACACTGGGCACTCCGTCTTCTGACTCGCAGCGGCTGGAAGATTGGCAATGTACTGGGTGTTGATGGATCGGCCTCTAGGATGATCTGATGGGACTGGAGTTCATCAAAACCTTTGCCTGAGCTGGTGGAATTTTGCCAGGCAGACAGGTGCCTCACACCATTGACTGGGACGTCCGTGGATTGCCACAGCTTATTGTTCCACCAGCGAGGACCGTCCATTCGTTGAGGTGGTGTAATGAGAATCACGCGCAAAGGACAGTTTCTATTGGCTGCACCTCAAGGTCAATCCAGAGGTTTGTTGTGTCCCAAGACCAATCAGCGGAAGAGGAGGAGGAGAAGGAAAACGTGCCACGGCCGAATTTACACAAACATGTGCGAGGGACAATGCAGGCCCAAGCAGAAGAGGAGGGGAGACTACGAAGACGAGAAAGTGGGGGGAGGAGGCGAAGGAGATTGTGTGCGTGTATGTGCCAGTTTTTTCCTGTCACTCGACACTGCGCCAAAACCGGATACGGGCAGGTGCCTGAGGAATCAAAAGCGTCATCATCTTTTTTGGATTCTTAGCGGAGAAAGTAGGTAAGATGGTACGTCACTTCGAAGGTTTTTTCGTGCGTAAGTAAACTCAGTCAATGTCTTAGTCCCCGCCTGGTGCCTGACTGTGCGGATGTTGACAAGTTAAGTGGCGGTCAGTTGGCCTCATAAAGGACTCGTCTGCTGGCACAAAACCTGAGGTCAAGGCGCATAGATAGACAACGCAAATAGCCAATACCAGCAGAACTTTCGCTCTAAACTGAACATTCCAGAACAGCGCTGATGTGCGAAATTTGACCACTTGCGAGAAGAAAGTAGTTAGAGCAAAGGATGAAGAAAAAGGTTACCAGTAGAGCTTGGCTCAAAATGCATTTCTGGGTATTTAAGACCACGTCGCGCTTGGTTCGACGCCGTTTCGCAACTAACGCCTGTCAGCGAATTGGCTACCGACTTGTCCTCAAAATGGAGGTTCGCGTAAAACACCGGTTAAATGTAAATCGAGTGTTTCAGCTGACCACGGGAGTTGAAAAGTGGAAATAAAAACAGTCTCTAATTGGCTGGATAGTCAAAAAACCAACATCAACAGGTATGAGCTTAGCTAGTCTTTGTCCCTAGATGCAAATGTTCTCATTACGAATGGATGCGATAAATGCAGCCACTTTTCCCCGGCCACTTGTCCTTGTTTAAACGGAAGGACGGGGTTTAATTGGCGTGTGCGGATGAGCAGTCATTACCTAAAAAAGAAATGCATATTTAAACGGCAAAGCCAGCAAAATTGAAGTAAGTCTAAAGTGAAAAAAAAATTGTGGAAGTCCAAAATCTGCAAAAAAATTAAAGATGAATATTTTGACAGACATTATCCCTCCTAGGGCAAACATACACGGAGGTTCAGGCGGCATGACTGCCAGAGGAGAAGCTGTGCACAGAAAAAATGGCAATTGTCGGTTGTGCAATGCCACCTTGCAGCCAGTAACCCCAGGCCCGGGGTGGTAATGGGGGCTTTACGGTTGGGGCATCACCGCGGAGGCGGAACGAGCTGAATGTAGTAAAACATAAAAAATCAATAGATCTCCGTTTAAATTCTTCTCCTACGCCTAGATACAGCAACGGAATTGAGCACATTAATTGAAAAACAAACGGAATATAGCTTTTAATGAGTAAAGGATGTTTGAATATACCGCCACTTGAAAATTTGAAGCAGGTCAGGAACCAATAGGAAAGAGGAACAGTAAGCGCCAGATGGCGCAACTGTGAAAATTGACTGCAAGGTAACATGATGCGCCTGAACGTTCGAGGAGCTATGCAAATATATCCTAGTGAAAAACAAAAAAATTGTCAAATAACTTAAGCGCGATAGCGTGTGAGTGTCTGCATAATTAGGCTCCACCTGAAGTAAACAACCCCAGCCACCCTTAATACATGAGCGGTGGTAATAGGAGTTTTTACGGGTGGGGCCAGGGAACGCACAGACGACGAGGTCGAGTAGTTGTATGTAAAGAAAAGCTATTGGGAATGCGCGGTCGTACATTGAGTGGTTGGGAAATAGTTGCCCTAACCCTAACCCTAGCCCCAACCTCTAACCCTAACCCCTAACCCTAACACCTAATCCTAACCCCTAACCCCAACCCGCATCCCAACAGTATTGTGTCCATCAGTCGGGTCTACGTAACCACGTCTTACCATATTTTTTTCTTCTAAAATGCAGTCTAACGGCTCCGGGTCCCCCAAAGTCAGATAACTGCAGCTTGATTTTCTGACGAAAACAGAAGAAATTACCGAAGCCATAAACTCGGAGGTGGCAGAATACTGCCAAGCAAGGGGCTGCTACCTAGTGTGGCGAAACCCCGATGTGGACCCCAAATGTATCAGTATTGAACATTTTACAGTCAAGGATCCGACCGTGGAAAAACACATCAGCGCGATTGCGGCCTACTGAAGCAGACTGAAATGGACGCTTCACAAAGGAGGACCAACGTTGAATTATGCAATAGGGGTCCACATAGACAAGGTTCACTATTGTCAGTGGTTTGGCTTGGACAGCCCCGGCTTAAAGGAAGCGTGGAAAATATTCCTGTCGCATACTGCGGAAGCATATCCGATGCAACAGCTTCCCGAACAGGGAACCTGATCGACGCATTCCTGAGGGCGATTTAAAGACCACTTGTAAGTAGATTTTTAGACATGCACTCAACCAAATTTAACTGTCTTATTATTGGTTTGCGAGTGACCACGCACAAGTATTTTTGGAAAAGTAAATAAGTCACTGCCTATGCGTTCGAAGACGGAAAACTGCTTGGAGATGTCAAAGAAGCGGAGCACAACTGATCATGGAGAAGGGGCGGAAACTGAAGGTCGCCTCATGTTAAATAATCTATTGCCAAACAGGTCAGACTGAAAAAACTCGGTACATGCGGCTGTGTCGATGCGCTAGATAACACCCAAAGGGAGACATCCTACGGGAAGGAATTTATAAACTAATCAAGGCCTACTAAAACAAATATAGTAGTTAGTTATACATATGGAACGCAGCGGGTTTGCACAGTCTATCCTCACCAAAAAGTTAAAGCTCCTTATGGTACTGCATGATTTGGTGAATGCAAGTCTTCTCCTGGGATAAGCGGAAGCTTTCGTTCTCTTGAAATTGAACAACTCCTCGAAGAGTTGGTAATCTGATAGGATAACTACATTGCTCTTGATGACAAGATCGTATGCAACTTATTTTTTTTTGAATACATAAAATCGCCTTTCCAGAAATCCGATAATTGTAGGAATTAAGGCTATGTGCAAATGAGAGTCGAATTAAGAAACTTCACAATACAGTCAATGTAGGAGCCAGTTTACATCTCGGACTGTGTTTCGCCGACAAGTGTTAACAAGCGTGTCGGATTTCGACTCCTGAACCCCAAATTCGTCCAGTAATCTCGGTAGAAATTGTGAAATTCAAAATCGTCTTTTCGCTACAGATTCGAGCCCCTGATCCTTGCATAGGTACCTAAAGGAATGGCCCTGTAGTATTTCCAGTAAGCGAATCCCCGAATACCTTTCCAGTTAGATCGTCGTTCCCGAAGATATGCGGGGTGGACGCAGGCACGGTGACCTGCGCGCGAACTGGTAGCTTCATCTGCTGCACTCCCCGCGCCCTCATTCACTTGGGCCAGATGCTGAGACAGAGGCGGTGACTGGCAAGGCTTAACAGCCCATCTACGTGTGCCAAGCACGACCTGACCCCCTCCCCCCATAGAGGCCGCCTCGAGAAGGTGCCAGTGTAGCCTGACTCTCGATCCTGCGAGGGGGACCGAGTTATCCCATCGGTTGTCAGACCTCCACGACCTCTAGCCAATCACAGTAGTTACAAAGCTCGTCAAATGGTTTACAGCGGGGAGATACGCTGACATGCCGTGGGGGGGCGGGTGCCCCAGAGTCGATCTCACCCTCTCTTTCTCCCCGCTCCCACCCGCCAGTCCACTGTTCGGCCGGTCAGCCAGCTGGCATCAGGCGCAAGTGTCTGGTGCACTTGGGAGCGCGCCTAGGCTAGGGGTTGGAATCGCACACCGCCCCAAAGCCACCATGCGCAACAGGGTCATGAAGATCAAAGACCGGTTAAAACCCGAAGAGCAATCTGGAGTAGTGTATCGCATTCCGTGTCAAAATTGTCCTTGTAATTACACAGGACAGACTGGACGCATGCTCGGATCGCGCATACATGAACATAAGCTGGCTTTGAGGCGAGGCGACGCATTGTCACAAGTGGCCGCCCACACCTACGAAATGGGTCACGAGTTTGACTTCGCAGCCACCAAAATAGTTGCCCACGCCGGAAACAAAACAGGCCGAGAATTGATTGAAGCCTGGGCCTCGGATGAGAACTCGGTCAATCGATTTATCGATCTGGCGCCGGCGTACAGAGCCCTTCGTAGTCACCTCCAGTCGTGCGACGTCGGTCGATGATTGGGTCTACGTGCCTTATAACTGCCGCTTGTCCTGTTTCTGCCACTACCTCTGACGATGGACTCCTGTACGAATCTGAAAGCTCAGGATAATAAACGAATTGTTCCGGTGCTCGATTCTTCTTCTTCTTCTTCTTCTTCTACCATCACACCCCCATGAGCATCATTTTTATGTAATGTGCGCACTTTGCGCAGCCAGTGTAACACCTGTCTTGCCTTCATCTACCACCTCCCCCCTTGATTCAGCGCATCTTCTGCATGGGCCGTTGTTGGGTCACAAAGATCTACAGAATATCCAAAGGTGGCGGATGAAAAGACTACCAGTGACTCGGGCAAAATGAATGTCCTTGAAAAGCTTCCTGTAAAGGCCAAGGTCACTGGTCAACCATTAAAGAGTAACAATGGACAGCGGCGGCTAATATCCTCAGCGTGCTTCTTATTAACTTCATTACTCTATGAGGCGTAGAAACTCTCGGTTACGCTGTCCTGGTTCCAAGTGAAAGCGCAATGTAGACAGTGGATGAAAGTAAGCCTAAGGGGGATGCTGAAATCGCAAAAGGCAACCTGACGCATGACAATTCTGCCGCCAGACTGAAGGAAGCCTAGAATTCCCGCAAAAGACCTGGCTGACCGGACACGTGGGGCAGCAATATCGCAAATCTAACGACAAACCTAACCGTAACGTCGAAAATAAACCCAACCCTTGACATAATTATGAACCTAACGTTAAGCCTGACCACA